GGTATTAAGCAGAAAAGAGATACTCAATAAAATAGATAGTGGGCTGCGTAAGGCCTGACAATTAGTCGCCCGAAATACAAACAAAACCAGATGCCAGTCTAGAAAATATCACGAATACATTCATTCAAGCGTACATACATATACAAATCCATATATATATATTCATGCATGCAGGTGTAAGAAGTTAAATGCGACGCTATAAACGCAGAAAAAATGTTTCAGCTACAAGAAAAACGAAATAATAAAACTAACTATACCATTCAAGAGGATCGCGAAGTCCTTTAAGAAGTGCACCACCAGCCCAGAGGTCGATTTCTTCATGCATCAACAGAAGGTGGATAGCGGATATAGAATTCATCCGCCTGAAGCGTCCGGATGATGATGTATCCTTCTGGGAATGGTCTATTTGAATACCTTCAATCCTAGCTGGCGCCCGATGGTAATGCGGAGCGTGCTCAAACGCATACTCAAGAAGAGAGTGAAGCTTAAGCTGTGGTGAGTAATTAACAAAGCATATTATATTATTACATTGCTGCGGACAAATATGAAGCTGAAATTTGAAATGATGAAAATTTAAACATCACAAAATTTACGCTGTTAACGAGGACTCGAGAAAATTTCAGGCCATGTGGAGCAAATTACAAAAGCGCATGATGGGCTTCAGGTAAGCCCCGTCTTTTGGCAACAAGTTGATTTCATGGTAAATAAGCAAAAGTGGTATAAACCAAGCAGCAAAAATCACACATACTAGGTGTGTTTGGTGCAGAACAGCTGCTTCATCATCTGCATCCCTTTTCCTACTCATTAGCGAAAGTTCGTCCTCGAGTTCAGCCAGCTCCTTGGCTCCCATAAGCAGACTACGGGGCCGGAGTTGAGCTGAAATAATGGGCGCAAGTCTTCCTATCGTCTCACGGGCATCAGGCTTGTGAGGAACAATATTTGGATCAAAAAGGCGCCTTTTCACTCCATCCCTGAGGCCGCTGAGGCCCATACCTCCACGACGACGGCCACGGTTCATATTCCCTAAACAATAAACAATACAAGCGTTAGGCAAATGCAGAAAGCCTACGATAGTAAGAGAAATTGAGAAGCCAAATAAAAAGAACAGTTTATTTACAAGCTTCGTAGAAAAATATAGGTTTTTATACAAAATGTCACCCAGGAGTAATTCCTTGAACCAATTCTTCAGCCTTCTGCGCTCGGACCTTTCGAAATTCTTTGCGATTCCTTTTCTTCTGAAGTCGTTTCTGGTGAATCTTCATCAAATCATTGGCTTGATTTGCAGGATCAAAAGCGAATTTTTTGTTCTTCATGAGCTTTTCAAATCTAGCATCATGGGCAAGCTCTTCGAGTTCCTCTGTTGCGACTGAGGGTTTGGAACTGACTTCAACAGGTCGAGGCTTACGAGACGCCGCATCAGCTAACTTGGACTCAGAAATAATATTTAGGCGCTCTCGAATTTTGTTAAATAGCCGAGTTGAGACGAAGTAACCGTGCATGTAGGCCCTGAGAAACTGGCTTCCAATCAAATCTGTCATCCCGTGTTCGGAAAGCTGCTCTCGGGTAAGAAATTTGTAGCCATCGTACATAGAAGTAACGTCAGATTCACACTCGACGACCATTCGATCAATATGACTGCACCACCAAGGAGCATGACCAAGGAGAGGTATAAAGAATGAAGAAATTTTGGGAGTTTCACATGCGAGCATAATTAAGCCAGTGGAGTTGAAGTGATAAAGATGATTTAGTTCCGCGGGCCCAGCGTCGAATCCAACAAATATTTGGCCAGAAGAGACATTCCAAATTTTAACACAATTCGCCACTGTACATAAAACTTTATCTTCATGGAAGGCTATCGATTTAATGGGCTTACGATATTCACTATCTCTTGTATGCCATGGGTGTTTATTCTGCCTCAAATCATAAATATAAACCATTCCTTCACTGGTTCCTATTGAGATATTTAAAGGGTCTTTGTATGTCAGTGCGGATACTTTTGGAATAGCTCTACTTGGATATGGAATGTCATCCGGACGGGGAGAGCTAGTACGAAGATCTAGACCAAAAACGGTCTCCCCTGTCCTCAAGTCCCAGCCATCAACACGCCCGAGAGATGATCCCGCCAAAGTCAAATCATGGTAATTAGAATGGACACATTTTGTAAATCCGTGAGCTGAATTAAGAAGAAACTTCGATTCTAGCGATGTCTCAAATCTTCCTTCGAACAAATTAAGACGATATATAGTGTTTTTGGAGCCAGCTATTAATAAATTGCAGTTAGAAGAACAATATTGAATGTCAACGCCTGGCCTGGGAACTCTGAATTTAAAAAAATGCCCGCCAGCCGCATGCACATCGATCCATCTTTCCTCTTGCAAAAGGGCAAACTTAGAATAATCATCACTGAGGACTGCAATCTTGTATGGCAAATAATCAACACATCTATCAAATTTCATAGAAAGATTGCTTAATTCGTAGCATCTGACACGAGGCTTATATCTTCCAAGTACAAATAGGAAGTGACCATCAGGAGAGGCTGTAATATAGGTTGCAGAATCGGGCATTTCTAATTCTTGAATAAGCTCAAAGCATTGTGATGCTTTCTTTGACCTTTTCCGTTTCTCAGAGCGGGAAGCCCAGTCAGGCAATGCGTAAGAGGGAGTAAGGTTGTAAACCTTAACTCCGTTAAGTCTCATTAGATTCATGAGGAAAGAATAGAACAAAAACGCGCAGAGAAAAATAGCAATTTAAAACAAAAAGTAAGAAAAGTCAAGATTTTTAATTTTAAGGATACAAATTTAGAATTTTTATTACGAAATTAATTAAAATAATGGCTTTGTAAGGATAAAGAATTATTAGGATATGCAATTTGTATAGAAATACATATTTTTGAATTGCTCGAGACTTAGAAAATAGAATACCCTTCTTGTCTTAGCCAGGATAACCCTGATAGCGAAATAACATATAGGTGCCTTAAGGAAATGATTTAATGATCTTAACAATTATCTTAACAATGATCTTAATTACAAATGATCTATATATAACACTATGTCGAAATCAATAAATTCAGAAACAATGTTAGATGAGATCG